TCACACACACACACACACACACACACACTCACACAGATTATCTGAAACCTCTGTCCGTGGAAGCCTAACACATCGACGCACTTCCATGTCCCAAAAGAAAGACTCCAATCATAAGAACACAAATGAATTTACTTGGAGTCCTTTATTCATACAATCACAGAACAACTAATTGTTCTCCCGAAATCCTTATTTCTTTTGGGATGGAGAAAGATTAAGTATTTTTCCTTTGACAGAGATGAAAGGAGGATGCAGTGGATTTTACAATGATGGTTTAAGTACATAAGTACTGCCTACTTTTGAGTAGTGGGTATCCAAATCAACAGCAGCCCTTTGTTCTAGAGTCTTAGCCCTAAAAACGCGGACTGCAATTGAGATGGTTCGCCGGTCAATCTACGCAAATCAAAAGATCATCGTTAGACCACTCAAATAGTGGATCAAGTGTAATATCAGGACTGGATTCAATTTTTTTTGGTTTTAATTGACAATGTAATTGCATCATCAAAACTAATTTAATTCACATGGTAAATAGCACAAGTAGCTACTTAAAACAAGTATGGGAATTTCTTTGGGAAAGTAAAAATGAAACCAATTTCCTTGAGGAAAGTCAAAACAGCTTCCACTCCCCCAATAACAATGTTCCATCATATGGTGAGGTCAAGATACAGAATATGAATGGATTCAAGTAAACAATAAGCAGTTTCACCATTAAAAGGCAAACTGTGAGAGGACCCTTTTTTGCCTAGATGAAAACACGGAATCATCTCAGGAAGACTGCAACTGCGATGCAGAAAGGCTCTCGCTAGATATTGATCTTTCTTAGAATCTCTATTTCAATAAATCATTGTTCCTACACAATATCCAAGGTTAAGTCCTATGTCTCTGCATTGCTTCTCATTTTCACAAGGAAAAGGACTCCTGTAGCTAATCAACGAGAGATCTTTTGAAAAATAACCATCTCTATGATTTTGTGCAGTAGCTATAGCTGGGTTATTCAAGTGATGCAATGAGATCTTTTGAAGATTTTTCCATCTGAATGATTTTGTATGGCAGCTGTGACTGGGACATTCGAGAGATGCAAACTGTGAAAGCAACTTCTACTACGCGCAACATTAATAAGGAACATTCTTGACATGGATTAAAATCGGCAAGTAACCAACCAGTAAAAGTTCATAACGGCTCCTTTCTAAGCAATATATTAGTAAAAAAAATCCATTTCCTCTTGTTGATGTGGTTAAAGCAAAGGATAGGAGCATGGAACAGGCTCAGCATGCAATAAATGAACAACCTGTCTGTAAAGTACTGAATAGCGAACACCCACACAAACAAATAGTTCTTTTAATGATAAAAGAAACCGGTAAGAACATTCTTTCCCCTTTTAGTTTGCATGGAGAAAAATGTCAATCTCTATTCAAAGGAAGGATCATCGCATACTAAAATGAATGCAATACCTTTGGGAAACATTTATAACCTCCACCAGTCACATTGAGCAATCCTAAAGGTAAAACTCTGTTGGGCACCATGGCAGCCAACTTGCAAGCGATCATAGCTCCTGTTTTGACAGCCAAAGAGGGCAGTTAGTCACCCTGAAACAAAAAGGACCCCGATCTGGACACATAGGCAGACATGTCATGGATGTGATTTTTAGTTCATTATTAAGTTTAAAAAATGGCCAGATAAATCCAGGCATCCAGAAATTGCAATCAGAATGGTTGTTTTAATTTCTCATATGAAGAACAGAGCCAAATAAGCATCCATGAAATTTGGGTCATTCAAAACTCATTCATTGAATGGCCAATGACATGGGCTCTTTCCCATCCCAGGTGATCGAGTACAGTAATCGCATCTTTCGCCATAATCTTTGTCCTGCTCCATAAATCACATCGAAAGTCAAAGTCAATTTTTGTTAAAATGTTTTTGGAACAGCACCAAATTATCATCAAACTAAAAGACTAAGAAAGCCATCCAATGTGCACGATTAGTCCAAGGAAAGTTGAAGCTGCATTTAAGCTTTGCACCAACTGGCAACCATTCTCCTGTGAATACGATCCCGATTCAAGAAACTCCACAAAGCAGCACACACTCAAACGAACTAGAAAGCTCACGGTATGCGTCGATTGGACTCACATGTACTCCAACTTGTCGGCGGGCATGAAAATGGGAGCTGATTGTTTTGATAATCCTTTTTCCACTTTTATCAGGAAACCAATTCCAAGTCCTCTCCAAGGACTAGGGAACGTGCTTCAGGTATTTATCCATAATAACTTTCAGTCAGCTGAAAATGGCAGAATTAGTCACTTTTCAATGTCAATGAGATCAGTTCAAGCACTCTAGATTTTGCTGTTCCTATCTTAACCATTATGTTACTTCCATGACAAATTAGAGTACCAACTTAAGCTGATAAGTACTTACTTCCATGACACTATTATATATTGCAATCTCCAATTAAAAGAAGAATTTGGAAATACAATTACTCGGTTTCAGGAATTTTTTTTGCGATAAATGGTTTCTAAATTCAATCTGCTCTACCATCCAACAAATGTGAAAGACCATGTAAGTTGAGAAAAAAACTCACCTCATGCTCTGGAATATAAACAACGACTGGCTGCTTGCATAATTTTGAAATTACCTGTAATGAATTTATGATTGGAACTGGTCAGAAGCTCAAGAAGAAATAAAGTGAGTGCTGCTAGCAAATGAAACTATCAAAATGTAGAGAATAAGAGGACACCACCAGCTCCAATTAGTGCTTGAGAAACCTAGAAGAATTTACAAAAACAAAAGACTACTACATTTGTCCCTAGATGATCCATCATACTGCTCGATTTGAAACCATAGTCAACTCTTAATTCTACCCGAGAGATAAGGAAGAAAAGAAGCCAACCCCTATTATTTCTGTCTTTGCCAAGGGCTTAATTTAACCACGACTGATCTAGTCCCAGAAAATCAAGAGAACTTCCATAAATTTACACTAGCAAAGGGAAGTGCATCACCAACCTGTATGCTGTTTATTAGTTCTTGAGGATGTTCAACCCTCAAACCTACCTGCAAGACACAATAGGAGGAAAAATGACAGTTAATAGTTTCATTTATATCACCAGTATCCATACATTTGGAATGATCTTACTATGCATACAGATCAAGTTGCCAAACAAGGCATTTCCAAAGATGCCAAACATTTTAGTGACAGGACTATATATTTGAGAGGATCAAGGGTCGCAAGTTGAAACAAGGTTGAAGTAGCGATCAAGATCACAATGCAAGAATATAACATTTCATAATTGTGGCTATAAAGAAGATGAGAAGATAATATTAGCACAACAGATGAGAAATTCATTGCCAAATTGCTTCTTTTGCACTGTCACGCAATCAATCAACTTCTCCTGTGAATACGCTCCCGATTCAAGAAACTCCACGAAGCAGCACACACTCAAACGAACTAGAAAGCTCACGGTATGCGTCGATCGGACTCACGTGTACTCCGACTTGTCGACGGGCATGGAGCTTCAGCCCACGCCGCGATTGTCGAACACGCACACCTCGACCCCACCATCACCACCACTAGCGCCAGCTTTGAGAGCTGAGCGGAGCCATTTCTCGGGACAGAGAGAGAGGGGCAGAGGACGAATCGCCAATGGGGGGCTTCGGAGGCGACGGCGTAGGCGGAGGCGGCCGCGTGGTCGGATCTGAGCCACCGATCTTCACGTTAGGGCAAAAACGATGAGAATAAGTTCAAGTCATATCAAATCTTAACCTGAGAATGGGGCTTCAGAGGCAACGTAGAGGGAGATCCGGAGCCCGAGATCGCCAAAGGGGCTTCGGGAGGCGACGGCGGAGGCGCGGTTCGTTACAGACAGCCGAGCGGTGCCCTTTCACGAGACAAAGAGAGAGGGGCAGAGGACGAATCGCCAATGGGAGCTTCGGAGGCGACGACGTAGGCGGAGGCGGCCGCGTGGTCGGGATCTGAGCCACCGACGGGCTCCGAGAGGCGACGGCGAAGGCAAGCGGTGGAGGCGGAGGCGCGGCTCACAAAAAGAGCCGTGCTTCGCGGAGGAAAGAGAGAGAGTAGATGGGTTTTCTGGAAGGGGACGGCTGAGGCAACCCGCGTAGGCGCGGCGGGTTCACGAGCAAAGGAGGCGAAGTCGCGGAGGAAGAAAGAGGAGGTCGGGAGCAGGAGAAATTTTGAGCGGGAGGAGTGAGGGAGAGAGAAACCAGATGAAAAGTGAATTTTTGAGCAGTCGCGGCGAGGCTAACGGAGGGTTAACGGAGAATGGGAGAGAGAAGGGAAAGCGGCTGATTCTTTAGTAAATCTGATCTGTGGGCCCTTCTTGCCACGTGTCTTCCGCTCAATGGTGTTATGTATTGCTGACGTGGTGTATTCCACTCACGCAATATTTTCTCGTTAAGAAGAAGAGAAAAAGGAACAGAACAGGAAGAAACTGAAGAGTACTTGTAATCCAAGATAAAGAGTCCAATAATATCACCTCCTCGTATCCAGGATGATCATTCCTAGGTTGCAAGACATTAATCTCTCTGTTTCACTACGATTTTGAAGTTGCGTGCTTGATAAATCACTTAAATCAACAGAAACAACAATTTGAAGATAGAATATAATCACTAGGCTAACATTAAGGAAGTACTCTCTATCAGCCCCTTAAATTTCAACCAAGTACCCTCAATCTTTCACCTTCACGTCACAGGCTAGACCATTGTGACAATAATTTTCTAGAAAACTCATTAGGAAGGAGAACTGGGTTCATCTTAAAGTTAACTGTACATAAATGTCCCTGCAAGAAACTTAGTATGACTGAAGTAGCAGAAGTTCAAATGCAGATAATTTTCCGTACAACGACATGTTTTCTTCCTTGTAACAAATTAATCTGAGAATATACAGAACTAACTAGTGTTAGATGATGCAAGCCCAATCTTCTCTCATCGAGAAAAAAGTAGGCTACTTACTACATGCACCCGATCGCAATGCATGAGAGCTTACGTCCCCAGTGCAGATTTTCAGGATTCTAATGTATTGTTAGCTGATGCACTCAGCAATTTAGCTGTGTATGCAGCATTTGGTGAGAAGCCTTTCTCAACCACCTCCCCTAGAAGAAGCATTGCCCTCGCTTTCTGACCATCTTCAAGGAGTGCTCGGATAATAATGTCATACACAACACCACTTGGAGGACATCCCTTCTCTTTCATATTATGAAGTAGCTCACAAGCTTCACCTATTTGACCAGCTTTACATAGTCCTTTTATGATGGCGCCAAATGTCATGACATTAGGTTGCAATCCTTTGGCATCCAGCGAATTAAAGAGGTTCATTGCAGGTCCAAGTTCCCCCACCTCACACAAGCTGTTAATAAGGATGTTGCAGTGGATTATATGAACATCGACCATGCCATCTTCCATTTGTCGAAACAATGCCATTGCCTTGTCGACCTGTTGATTTTTGCAAAGACCATTTAACATGATAGCACAAGATTGTTGATTTATATGGTTGCAAGCCAGCATTTTGTAAAACAGCTGATGTGCAACCCTGGGGTTTCCAACAAGGAAAAAGCCATCCATGAGACAACCATAGGTGGCAACGTCAGGGACTAATCCTTTCTCCAACATTTCCCCAAGGAGACTCATTGCCTTATCGACTCTTTTAACTGCAAAATACCCATTCATCAATGTGTTATAGGTCACGACATCAGGATTGCATTTCCTTGCAGTCATCAAACAAAATGTCACGGCAGCATCATCCATTCGATTCTGAAGGCAGTAACCATTGATTAATGCGTTGTAAGTAACTACATTCGCCTCAACATCCATCTCGAACATCGTATCAAATATGCACTTCGCCTCATCAGTCATGCCCTGTTTGCAGAGTGCATCCAAGATAATAGTGAAGGTTTGACAACCTGGCCTGGTTCCTCCCCGCACCATCTCACTCAACTGGACTTGAGCTTCTTCCCATTGACCACAAAGGCATAGACCGTGGATCAAGGAGCTATAAATGATAACATTCGGGTGGATTCCATCATCAATCATCTTCTCTAACAAGGTCTTTGCTTGTTTCCATTCGCCTATGCAGCCTAAGCCATGAATCAAGGTATTATAAGTGAAGATATTTGGGCGAATTCCCTGGTGACTCATGCAGTCAAAGAAGCCAAATGCCTCCGCCACCAGTCCTTCCTTGCAATAACTATCGATGATCGTGCTGTACATGACCACATTCAGCTCGCAACCCCTTTCTTCCATATTCCTCATCAACCGAACGGCTGTCGAAGTATGACCAGCTCTACACAATCCCTTCACGATGACACCGCACGTAACTACATTGGCCTTAAACCCTTTGCCCTGCATTTCTTCCACCAAGGTCAAGGCTCGTGCCATCTTACCCTCTTCACAGAGCCCGTTGAGCAAAGTGGTCAAGGTCACCACACTCGGTTCAACTTCAAGCCCAAGCTTGAACATTTTGGTCAAAACAAAAAATCCACGATCAGTCCTTTTCAAGTGGCAGAGGCAATTTATCAGAATGCTGAGAACGTAAATGTTGCGAGATATCCCCAAGGAGTCCATTCGCTCGATCATGTGGATGGCGATAGCATAATGCTTCATCCTCACCGCAGCTCCCAAGAGTTGGATAAAACAGGGAGTTGAAGGCAAAGGGTTCAGCCGAATCATAACCTTAAAATAATGCAAAGCATCGTCGGCTTTTGCCAACCCGCCATTTTTGCATAAATTCATCACAAAGTCCAAAACTTGGGATCGGTTCAGGGAATCGCTCAGTCCAGAAGTGGAGCGTGAAGTGGTGCGAAAGTGACGGGAGGGAGAGGAATCGACAATGCGAGGAAGATGAAGAAGAAGAGCCGATGCAAAGACGGGAGGAGAGGGAGTGAGATTACCAGATGGTGGTCGAACAAGAGGAGGAAGAGCAGAGGGATTCACCATTCTTCGCATCGTTTCTTTCCAGCAAACTTCTCGTCGTCGTCGTCATCGTCGTCTTCTTTCTCTCAAACTGCTTCAAAGGTTTAAAAAACGGATAAAGTACTAAAACTTGTCATCAACTTGCAATTCATTGATAAAACTTTCAAAAGCGCAATTAAATCATAAAATTTATCACAAAAGTGTAATTAAATTTTAAAACTTCAAAAAATAGCAATCAAGTTGGTGTAATTTAAGATTTCTATTTATCTATCTATTTTAGTTTTATTTCTGGGTAAAAGCCACCAAAAGGTCCACCATGACACATTTACTGTAACCTTTTTTAATAACACAAAAAATCTCAAATTTGTACCTATGTGACACATTTACCCTCCTCCGTCAAAGTTCTGCCGATGAAAACTGTTAAAAATCTGCCTACATGGATACCAGAAAGCAAATAATGTTGACATCATTTTGGCTGGAAAATCATTTAAGGGAACCTTGACGAAAGGTAAATTTATCACATAGGTACAAGTTTGGGATTTTTTATATCACAGAGAAAAAGTTTAGGGCAAAAATGTCACAGTTATCATAATTTAGGATTTTTGATGTTACAAAAAAAAGTTCATGTAAATGTGTTATAGTAATCATAATTTGAGATTTCTTGTGGATTTTTTCCTTTACTCTTTTTAGGATAAGTGCACAAAAATTATAAATCTTGTCGCCAAAGTGTTATCTCGTGCTCGCTCTATCAATAGCTTTCCTAGTCCAAAAAATAGAGCAACTTTTAAGGATGCTTTTCTTTTAAGTCTCGAATCTGCCCCAATTAACCCCTTATCCTCCCTCCAAAGTCACCATTAGTCGTCTCACGTGGCATTTCCCCTCACGTGGCATTTCCCCGTCAACAATTGGATTTAAGCATTGCTCGTAGTCACTGTTCATCATCCCCCATCACTTCACTGTTCCTGGAGGCAAACTGACTCAGCATGGAATGCTTCTTTGCTGTCATTACATTTTTTGCTTATTTTTCAAAAGAAACCGGTCGTGATCTTATTCCAAACAAAACAGACGAAAACTTCCTACTAAGTGGCTCATTTTGAACCAAAAAACATGTACTGGGTTCGGAGTGATTAATGCTACAAATCTCCTAACCTTTTGCCTTCTCTTTCATCGAAAAAGACAGCTGTTAACCTCCAAAAATCCAACCGTGGCCGCCATAGAGTTTAATCAACACAAATATGAGGTCGAGCCGATCTCTAGATCTTGAATTTATACCTAAAAAGATAGATTTTAGATACGTCTGGAGAATACGTGATGTTAACCCAACTAATCTTAGAGTGCCGCATTTGTCAAAATATCTTTCGTTAAAAAAAGAAGAGTCATAGGATGAATTCTCTAAATAAGCAATCGCCTTTACGAATTTGTAAGATTCATGGCGATTATTCCATATTAAAAAAGTGAGAGGGGCAATTTGAATAGTAAATGTACAAGGGAGCTTTAGTAGCATTTTCTAATTATTGTCTATTATTCTAATTTGACATTATAGTTCATCTTTATCTTTTACCGACCTTAATGATTGGAAGCGGCCTATTTTCGACTAATTATCATTATGGATTGATCATTCTTTAAGTTTCTATCACTTACTATTATAAATCTTGTCGCAAAAGTGTTATCTCCTTCTCGCTCTATCAATAGCTTTCCTAGTCCAAAAAATAGAGCAACTTTTAAGGATGCTTTTCTTTTAAGTCTCGAATCTGCCCCAATTAACCCCTTATCCTCCCTCCAAAGTCACCATTAGTCGTCTCACGTGGCATTTCCCCGTCAACAATTGGATTTAAGCATTGCTCGTAGTCACTGTTTATCATCCCCCATCACTTCACTGTTCCTGGAGGCAAACTGACTCAGCATGGAATGCTTCTTTGCTGTCATTACATTTTTTGCTTATTTTTCGAAAGAAACCGGTCGTGATCTTATTCCAGACAAAACAGACGAAAACTTCCTACTAAGTGGCTCATTTTGAACCAAAAAACATGTACTGGGTTCGGAGTGATTAATGCTACAAATCTCCTAACCTTTTGCCTTCTCTTTCATCGAAAAAGACGGCTGTTGACCTCCAAAAATCCAACCGTGGCCGCCATCAAGTTTAATCAACACAAATATGAGGTCAAGCCGATCTCTAGATCTTGAATTTATACCTAAAAAGATAGATTTTAGATACATCTGGAGAATACGTGATGTTAACCCAACTAATCTTAGAGCGCCGCATTTGTCAAAATATCTTTCGTTAAAAAAAGAAGAGTCATAGGACGGATTTTCTAAATAAGCAATCGCCTTTACGAATTTGTAAGATTCATGGCGATTATTCCATATTAAAAAAGTGAGAGGGGCAATTTGAATAGTAAATGTACAAGGGAGCTTTAGTAGCATTTTCTAATTATTGTCTATTATTCTAATTTGACATTATAGTTCATCTTTATCTTTTACCGACCTTAATGATTGCAAGCGGCCTATTTTCGACTAATTATCATTATGGATTGATCATTCTTTAAGTTTCTATCACTTACTAAATATAAATTCAAATAACAGAAAAAGATATGAGTTTTTGTTTGGATGATGAAGGCAAATGATGTAGCTTATTTAATAAAGTCAAATCAATCTAACTAAGAAGGAAAATGATATCTAACAAAGATATATCTTCGTCAAAAATACATTTAATGAAAAATATAGCTACGTTTACCGGCCGACTCATAACGAATGAAAATATCATTGAGTTTACTTGTCATAAACCTTTCAATTCGACCAACTTAATCCTAAACCTTTTAACATTTGCTAATTCAATCCGAAACCTTTAAAATGTCTCAATTTAATCATAAACATTGTTTACAATTTGCCAATTTTATCCTCAATCCTTTGATAATTTGTCAATTAGTCATTCCGGCAAATTTTAGCTGGAAATTGCTGGCATGACGGTCTAGTCAACGTCGGCTGTCTTATGTAGTACGGTCAGCACTAATATAGATAATTTTTGCAATGTTTTAATTTTTCTGAATTTTTAATTTTTTCTTTTCTCTTTTTTCCAACCTTGGGCTAGCGAGGGCTGCTCTTGTCAGTTTTGGATGACCACCACAGTCCTCGCCCGCGGCCCAAAGTTGAAAATAAAAAAAGAAAGAAAAGAAAAAATAAAAAATAATTGAAAAATTCATAAAAATTAAAAATGGCACAAATTATCGATGTCAACGCCGGCCGCGCCACGTAGGACGGCTGGCGCTGACTAAACCGTCACGTCAGCAGTTCTCAGCCAAAACTTCACTGGAAATACTAAATTAGCAAATTATCAAAAAGTTTTGGACTAAATTGGCAAATCCAATGAAAGGTTTAGGACCGAATTAACGAATTTTCAAAAGGTTCAAGACTAAATTGACCAAATTAAAAGATTTATAACTAAATTAACACAAGCGTAATAAGTTTAGAACTTTTTTGGTAATTTCCCCCATTGTCGTTTATCATCTTCTTTCTAACCTGTTTTCATATTTTCCCTTTAAGATCTTAATCTTCAAGTGATCGGTTGGCTATATATTTTATGATTCAATTTCATGGAGTCCATCGTTTCCCCCATATAAAATCCCATGGGAATGCCTGACCTTGAGCCAGAAACTTCAATGCTACTTTATCATCAGAAATGGGAAAGTTAAGAAGAGAAAAAGGAACAGAAAAGGAAGAAACTGACGAGTACTTGTAATTACAGATAAAGAGTCCAATAAAATCACCTCCTCGTATCCGTGATGATCATTCCTAGGTTGCAAGACATTAATCTCTCTGTTTCACGACAATTTTGAAGTTGTGTGCTCGATAAATCACTTGAAACAACAGAAACAACAATTTGAAGATAGAATATAATCTCTAGGCTAACATTAAGGAACTACTCCCTATCATCCCCTTAAATTTCAACCAAGTACCCTCAATCTTTCGCATTCACGTCCCAGGCTAGACCATTGTGACAATAATTTTCACGAAAACCCAGTAGGAAGGAGGACTGGGTTCATCTTGAAGTTTAACTGTACATAAAGGTCCCTGCAAGAAACTTAGCATGACCAAAGCAGCAGAAGTTCATCAAATGCGGATAATTTTCCGTACAACGACATGTTTTCTTCCTTGTAATAAATTTGTTCTAAAACATATACAGAACTAACTAGCGTTCAATGATGCCAGCTCAATCTTCTCTCATCGAGATAAAAGCTGGCTACTTACTATATGCACAACATCACATTTCACGATAGCTGAAGTACCCACTGCAGAATTTCAGGATTCTAATGTACTGTTAGCTGATGCACCCAAAAATTTAGCTGTCGATGCATCTTCTGAGAAGCCTTTCTCAACCATCTCCCCTAAAAGAAGCATTGCCCTCGCTTTCTGACCATCTTCAAGGAGTGCTCGGATAATAATGCCATACATGACACCATTTGGAGGACATCCCTGTGCAGCCTAAGCCATGAATCAAATTAGTATAAGTCCAGATATCTGGGCGAATTCCCTGGTGACTCGTACAGTCAAAGAAGCTAAATGGCTCCGCCACCAGTCCTTCCTTGCAATAACTATCGATGATCGTGCTGCACATGACCACATTCAGCTCGCAACCTTTTTCTTCCATATCCCTCATGAACCGAACAGCTGTCGAGGTATTACCGGATCTACACAATCTCTTCACCATGACCCCACACGTAAAGTCATCGACCTTAAACCCTTTGCCCCACATTTCTTCCACCAAGGTCAAGGCTCGTGCGGTCTTACCCTCTTCACAGAGCCCGTTGAGCAAAGTGTTCAAGGTCACCACACTCGGTTCAACCCCAAGCTTGAACATTTTGGTCAAAACGGAAAACCCAGGATCAGACATTTTCATGTGGCTGAGGCAATTTATCAGAATGCTGAGAACGTAAAGGTTGCGAGATATCGCCATGGAGTCCATCCGCTCGATCATGTGGATGGCGATAGCATAATGCTTCATCCTCACTGCAGCTCCCAAGAGCTGGATGAAAATGGGAGTTGAAGGCAAAGGGTTCAGCCGAATCATAACCTTAAAATAATGCAAAGCATCGTCGGCTTTTGCCAACCCGCCATTTTTGCATTGGTTCCTCACAAATTCCAAAACTTGGGATTGAGTCATGGAATCGCTCAGTCCAGAAGAGGAGCGTGAAGTGCGAAAATGACGGGAGGGAGAGGGATCGACAATGCGAGGAAGAAGAAGAAGAGCAGATGCAAAGACAGGAGAAGAGAGAGTGAGATTACCAGATGGTGGTCAAACAAGAGGAGGAGGAAGAGCAGAGGGATTCACCGTTCTTCGCATCATTTCTTTCCAGCAACTTCTCGTCGTCGCTTTCTCTCAACAGCTTCGAAGGTTTAAAAAAAAGACAGCAACTTTCGAGGATGTTTTCTTGTTTCTGGTTTTCTGTCGGTGAAGGGAGATGAGGGAGATGATGGGTATTCGTTGGAATCTGCATAGCTCTTGGGAGTAGAAATGGAGAGACAGTTGAAGGAATCGAAGTGGAGGAGAAGGAGAGAGGGAAGGTGAAGGAGAAGGAAGAAGGGGAGGTGAAGGGACATGGTGTTTTTTAATACAATTGTTATTGCGAGGGTCTCAACTCTTCGGCTGCATTTGGTTGTCCGGATTTCTAAATAGGATAAGACTGGATAGGATAGGATAAGAAATCCTGGGATTTCTTCATATCCTATCCACTGTTTGGTAGACTACGGATTTAAAGTCGGATAGTATAATTTTTTTTTTACTATTCACGGGTCCGTAGGAGTCGGTGAAGGAAAAAAAGCCGAGAAATTTTTTTGGTGAAACCGCACAAGGTATGGGGATGAAGATGACGGCGAGTGGAGCGTAGAGTTTCTGGAAAAATAGGTATTAGAAATCCTATCCAGGTCTATCCCACCCCCCCCGATTTTTTTATCTGGGCTATATCCGGTCTATATCCAACCTTATCTTATCCTGGACCACCACCAAACACAGGATAGGATAAAACATATCCTATCCTGGCTTTTATCCAGTCGACCAAACACAGCCTTAAGGTTTATGTTTATCGCTCTATTTTAGTTTTATTTTTTAAGACAGGTGCACTAAAAATTCTAAATATTATCGCGAATGTGTAATTAAGTTCTAAAATTTCAAAAAACACAATCAAGTTCTTCTGTTGGCGCTTAGTATCGATGTGGTGCTTATGGACACCTGAATTTCTCCAACAAATAAGCGTATATTTTATAAAGAAAATCACTTCGAGCTCGAGATTTATGATCGCGACAGATCTGGATCCTAGAACAAAAAATTAGTCAATTTATCAAATTATGCATCCATTGCATTCAGAGAATTGTTTTTCAATAGCATTACGTACCGTTTCATAAATAAATGAAAACTTTACTTTTTTGGTGGACTTTTTAGTCAAATTGAAAAATAAACCCATTATTGAAAGTGAAAAATACCACAAAAAATCTCAAATTATGTCACTTGTGATAAATTTACCCTGAAATTTTTTTGTGACACAAAAAACCCCAAACTATACTACTTGTGATAAATTTACCCTAAACTTTTTTTTGTGACACGAAAAATTTCAAACTATGTTACCCATGATACATTTACCCTACAATACTTTGGCCCACGGACATTTTCGTCTTTTTCCTTTTTCTGTTTTTTTTTCTTTTTTTCTCTCTTCCCCGGCGAGGGCGACCCTTGCCGGCGTCGGGCTACCCTCACCGGATCCGGCGAGGGCGACTTCGACCGACTCAGGCGACCCTCGCCCGCCCAGGCGAGGGCGACGCTCGCCCGACGCCGGCGAGGGTTGCCCAACATCTGCGTGGGTCACCCAACGCCGACAAGGGTCGCCCTCGTCGGATCCGGCGAAGGCAGCCCTTGCTAGGAAAGAGAGAAAAAAATATAAAAAAAAGAAAAAGAAAAAAGATGAAAATGTCCATGGGCCAAAGTATTGTGGGATAAATGTGTCACAGTTGGTATAGTTTGGAGTTTTTCATGTCACAAAAAAAAGTTCAAGATAAATTTATCACAAGTGGCATTATTTGGAATTTTTTGTGTCACAAAAAAAAGTTCAGGGTAAATTTATCGGGAAAATTACCAAAAAAGTCCTAAACCTTTTGCAATTGTGCCAATTCAGTCATAAACATTTTTTTTTACCATTTCAGTCCTAAACCTTTTACAATTGTGCTAATTCAGTCCATCCGGTCACTTTTGGCCGACGCTGACGCCGACGCCGATGCTGATGCCGACGCCGGCCGGCTGACGTGGCATTATTTTAATATTTTTTTCCATTTTTTTTCCTTCTTCCCCCTGGCTGGTCCAGCCAGGGGGAGGCTCGCCGACGAGGTGACCTTGCCGGCCATGGCGAGGCCGACCTCGCCGGCCATGGGCGAGGCCGAGCTCGCCCGGCGATGGCGAGGTCTCGCCAGATCTGGGCGAGGCCTCGCCGTCGCTGGGCGAGTTCGACCTCGCCCATGGCCGGCGAGCTCGACCTCGCCGACGAGCCTCCCCCTGGACGATCCGGCCAGGGGGAATAAGGAAAAAAAAAGGAAAAAAAATATTAAAATAATGCCACGTCAGCCGGCCGGCGCCGGTAGGCGCCTGCCGGCGTCCACGTCAGCGTCGCCCGGCCAAAAGTGGCTGGATGGACTGAATTGGCACAATTGTAAAAGGTTTAGAACTGAAATGGCCAAACAAAAAGGTTTAGGACTGAATTGGCATAATTGCAAAAGGTTTATGACTTTTTTGGTAATTTTCCCTAAATTTATCATAAGTGACATAATTTAGGATTTTTGGTGATATTTTCCCTATTGAAAGCAAAAATAACATATATAATAATAATGGTACTGCATTGCGTATAGATATCCCTTTCATCATTACATATATATGTAGTATTTTAAAGTTTCGAAATTTTCTTGCACAGGTCAAAGGTTGACTTTTTCGGTCGAATCAAGAAATTTAACCTTCAACCGAAAACATGGTCGTTTCATCATCCTATGTTATTTCCGTCAGGTTTGTTTTGTACTTAGGGCGTGCATGGAATCCATTCTGGAGCAAAATTTCTACTCCAGAATGCATTCCGGAACAGAAACGTGTTTATTAAAAAATTTCCGGAATGCATTCTGGAGCAATTTTTGCATTCTGGATAAAAAATGCGTTTGGTAAAAACATATTCTTTTTTTTATTCCAGAATCAAATTTTGCTTCCAGAATGAGTTTTTAAGCTACTTTTTGTAGCTTCTCTCTTCCCGGAACTCATTCTGGCCATTTTTCTTTCTCTTCCATCTCGTTCTCTCTTTGGAAATTCATTCTGGCCCTAATTTCTTTCTTTCTCTTCTATCTCGTTCTTTGCTTCTGTGACATCCGGAAATTTCATAATTATATGTTTGTGACGTTAGAAATTTCTATGTTTGAAAATGATACTTAGATTTAAAGCTAAGTATTATTTTCGAGTTAGTATTCGTGTGGACGCGTAGGAATTTTCGTTGGATCGAATTTCGCGAAGCGCGGATTCGGAAACGTAATCGTACCGAGTCCGACGTGTTTCATATTTAGACGTTGTCGTGTGCGTTAATCGTAGTGCGGTATTAATTAGATTACCGTCGTCTTGGTAATTAGTGGGCATTATTATTATTATTATTGTTTTATCTTAGTTAAGTAAGGTTATTGCCATAAGAAAAAGAGGGAAGAAATCTGCTCAAAAATATCCTCTGGACTCTTATTTCCCTCACGTGGCTGTTGAAGAAGAGTTGACCGAATGCCATTTGTCCCCTTGGGCTAGACACCTAAGCCTTGGGTAATCATTTCCCTTGGCCAATACTCCTACGATTAAGCCGCTGATTTCTTCCGACTGGCCTTGATGAAGAGATAAGATGCCACCTGTGAATACAATGAATTTACCCACCCCTTCGTATACCTCTCTGTTTTCACTTTCGCCTGGGTAATTAACGAAGATCATTTTCACCCAAACCCATACTCTCTCCTTCACTTTCTACTCTCGCCATCACCGATCCAAAATTTCCGGAAGAGTTTTAACCTTTGACGTGTTCAGATTCTGTTCAAGGTAAGTGAAAATTCTAGGTTTAAGCTAAGTAAATCTACTTGGCACTTGCAACTTGGTTGCTTGAGAAAGGTTATTTTGAGGTGCAATAGTGAGGTTGTGATGATGGTTGAATCTGTTTTGCTGGTTCTGTGCAAGTTCAAATGGATGTGATTTGTTTCCTTAAAGTATGGCGATAATATCGGCAAGCGGAACGATTAAATCGGAATGAGTAAGTGTAAATTTTGAGGTGATTGTTGGATTCTTACTATTGGTTTATGTATGTTTAAAAAGGGTAGAAAATCGTTTTACTCAAAGTGATGATTATGTTTATTGTGATACTCAAAGTGCTGATGATGTTTATTTGATTCTCCAAGGGATGTTTTTGTTTATTTTTGAAACTGGGCAGATTTTTAATCCTCAAAATTTGGTTTTGTGTACCTTGAAACTGCTAAGACTTTGTTATCAAAATCTGGTTCTGTGTACTTTTGAACCTGCTCAGACTTTGCTATCAAAATCTGATTCTGTCCACTTTTGAAAAATATTCAGATTTTACTTTCAGATTTTAACTTCATACTTTACCTTCAGACTTTACTTTCAGACTTTACCTTCAGATTTAACATCCAGACTTTGCAGTTCAGACTCTACTTTTAAAATTGCTTAGACTTTGCTGCTCAGATTTTACCGTTCATACTTACTATTCAGATTTTACTGTTCATATTTATTGTTCAGGTTTACTGTTCAGACTTACTTATAAAACTGATTCAGACTTTATTGTTCAGAACCTACTTTTGAGTCTGAATTAGGTTCTGAGTCTGAATTTACTTCTGAGTCTGAATCTGTTTCTGAGTCTGAACTTGCTTCTGATGACTCGAATTTGCTTCTGAACCTAAATTGCTTATGAGCTGAGTTGCTACTGAGTTTGAAATGTATTGTTTCATGTTTAAATTGCTCGGATGATGCATTTCATGGCTTTAAAGTACAAAAACCGTGATGGCTCGGTATGGGATGGGCCAAAGCGGACTTTTGCATACAAATACTTGGTTGTCATGACTTGCATGGGAATAATATTAATTTCGTCGCCCATTTAGTGGTGTGTGATGATGCCCCGTGTGTCGGGATGCCCCGTTGGTCGGGATGCCCCGGGGAGTGTTTCGGGATGCCTCGGGAGTCGAGATGCCTCGTTGGTCGGGATGCCCCAGGTGTGTGCCGGGATGCCTCGGAGTTGGGATGCCCCGTTGGTCGGGATGCCCCGGGAGTGTTCGGGAGGATGAAGTAATGAATCTAATCGAATGAGCATATATGTTTTACATCATGCTTGCGGTAAGTGAAAATATCATGGTATGTTGCATTATTCAGATTTTGCGGCACATCCAGACGGAAAAGGTATAACTTGCATTCAAGTTCTATGCATATCGTTTGCTATGCATGCGTATGTGTTCAGGCCAGGGGTAGTGGTAAGCTGATTTTCCTAACTTAAAACTAGAGATTTCATTTGCTGAGCTTCGGCTCATTCCATCATTTTTTTTCAGATATGTAGGATGGATGTTCCACAGCCCCTACGTTTTGGAGTTCCTGTTCATTTTGATGCTGTTTATGAGGATGTGTTTGCGCCGGAGCTTGACGCCGTATATACTAAGTGTAGTTCTACGATATGGGTTGATGTGGGCCTTCCGGAATGGGTTTCTTATCTTTTTGTTGCTTGGTATTTCAACTTGGAGGGCGAGTTGATTGGCCCGTTGAGGGGCTTTGACCTAGACGATGGTGGTTCCAGCAGCGGAGGGTGAAGTGATCGACCCGTGACAGCTTCGGACTTTAGTGCGAGACTTTTGGATGAAGGTTCTAGTTGGAGATAGGCAACCCTGACCTACCCAGTTTTTGTTTTTTTTGTACTTGTTTAATGCTTTGTCTGGGTTGTAAATCTGACAAGGGTTTATTAATGAGAAGAAAAAAATATTTTGACTAAATTTATGTGATATTCATGTCTAGGCTTTGTTTTCTGCTGGTCAATTTATTAATAATACTAATTGGTATGTGTCGCGCGTGACGTTCTGGGGCGTCACAGCTTCAGTTTCGTGCCCTCCCCTTCCCTCCTCGTGACTGCACCGGAACCGCCACTGCACGCGACGGCGATCGATTTGGCCCTCCATCCCTCCTCGCGACTGCACCGGAACCCGCCTCTTTAGTTTAGTGCCCTCCCCTTCCCTCCTTGCGACTGCACCGGAACCGCCACTGCACACGGCGGCGATCGATTTGGCCCTCCATCCCTCCTCGCGACTGCACCGGAACCGCCACCTCACACGGCGGCAATCGATTTGGCGAACCCTATCTCCGCTGCTTCCGTTTTTTCATGCGTAGCTGGTGAGTCTTCGATTCCTCCAATTGTTTCACCTCCTCTCGTTAGCTTTTTCCTTCGGTGCAATCCGCGGTGTGCGACGCGGCTGCCCGTTTAGGGCACGCGGCCCGCACGAGTCAAAACGAGGGAACGAGACGCCGTGGAGTGGTATGGCGAGAACTTGATTAGCATGTTGCGGATTGAGGTTGAGGTTGAAGTTGAGCCGCGGGATTTCGGTTTCGAAAGGGCTATGATGTGTGGGTTGTGTGGCTAAATCGGTTTGTGTGGCTAATCTGGTATTTTGAAGCTTTAGCATATGCATAAACTGTGTTGATAAACTGTTTTAGATGAGAAATTATGAAAGGCATGTATGCCATGTGGTTTTGACTTTCCTGTGTAGTGGCAATTAGTGAAAATATAATTTGTAGGAATGAGAAAGGTCCAGCCCTATTTAATTGGCACTATTAAATGGATTGCAGAAGACTACTGAATAAACTGCTGTTGTATCTGGAAACTGTGTAGTTGGCAAGGTATATAGCTTCGGTGGTGGCAGGATGCTTGTCATCATTTCTAATGTGAACGCAATTTGAATGCATAATAATGAGCACTAGGATATGTTACTTAATCATATGATATCTTTATTAGGATTATCTTTGAAATGGCTACTGAAGTGGATCAGTCACTTAATGATAAGAGAAATAAGGGATATGTGACCTTTTTTTGTTGGTGATGTCATTGTACGAACTTTTTAAGTTCACGTGTGAGAGGTTGGTGGGTGCAATGCTGGATATTGTTTCATAAGAAGTTCCTTTACAATATTTTTATGAGGTACATGCCTTGATCAGATGTGTATGAATGTGTTCTAATTAAAGAATATCAGTGTGCTGAACTGCTTCAGGAGCTATGCTTTTGGTGCCTTCTCTAAGTCTACCTACATCTTTTGCTGGGTGATTGATTCATAAAGAATTTTGGATGAAATATTACTTGTCCAAAGTCTAATTGGTAGTTCTGATTTGTTCCGTCTCTGAAAGCACGTGGACTATAATCTAGGTTCTTGCCACACATTGTGGATTAATGGTCTTAAGTCCTGGATTGTTGCTATTGGGTCGATCTTTTAGGCCAGGATTTTTGAGACAGCAGCATGATTTTGGGAGTTGCTTGTTCATGTTCATGTTCATGTTCATCTTGTGACTGGACAGTTGTTTTCTTTGCAATTTTTTTTTCCTTCCGTGGCCCATATTGCACAACAACAATCATTTGGTGTTACTATGATAGCTTCAATTGAGTTGAAATCTATAGCCTCCAGGATGCTGATTAAGTCTTAGAACATTTTATACATGTTTTGTGGTCATTGCGTTATCTTCTTTTGGGTCATGTGCTTCTGAGTCTCCTCTTGTTGTGTACCACTATTAGTATTTACTGTCTACTATTTTTGTATTATTGCAAATTTACATAAAGTTTTCCTATGCTATACTATTTGTTAGCTCTTTGGTAGAGTTTCTCTATTTTAGGGTGTGAAATTCTCTACTCAGGTACAATTTATGTTCTCTTTTGTAGATGTGCTCCTCTATTTAATTCTTGTTTGTTTGTTGAATCGTCATTACCAGCATTTGCCCCTGAAATTTCATCGATTTTACATAAATGGAATCCTCCAAATACACGTACATGGCAAAGTGGACTGAGCCGTTGACCGAATTGTTTATAAGTCTGATGGTAGATGAGGTAAAAAAGGGAAATCGCACATCATGTACCTACAACAGAGTAGGGTGGATTAACATTGAAAAAGAATTCAATGAACAAACAGGACTTCACTTTAGTCTACCACAGTTCAAGAACAAGGCACAGAAACTGAAGAGACAATATGGTAGTTTTAAGAAGCTGCTTTTAACAACGGGATTTGGATGGGACGATGACATCAAGAGGGTTGTTGTGGATGATGAAACTGTTTGGGCAAATCACATTAAGGTGATGTTACTTACTTAGGTCATCTTATTATTGTAACCTCAAATTTCAGATTTATAAAATGTTGAGTATTGCCTGACATTATTTTGAAAATGGCGCAGGCTAATACTGAATGGGCCAAGTTCAGGAAGGACGGATTTCCTTTGTATTCACAGCTTTGTGTTGTGTTTGGAGATACATACGCCACTGGGGAGTTTGCAATAGGAAATGCGCAAGGCGTGGCACCGTCGGAGGGTACAGTGGTGGTGGTGGTGACAATGATGTTCATGTCAACCTAAGCGAACCCGAACTGTTTTTCGAAACCTAAGCTGATGTGGAACAATTTAACGTGTCGGCGAGCCCACCACCAAAAAGTCACATGTTGGATAGGACTCCAAATGCCAAGAGGAGGAGAAAGAGCAGTTCGCATTCATTTGACGCGACCTGCAAAGCCATTCAAGAGATGATCAAAGCTAAGACGGTTCAAACATCAAGTGCCTCCGTCACCTCACAGTCCTTATTACCTGTGGACCCTTACTCTATATCAACCGTGGGTGCTGTCCTAAATGCCATGTATGACTTGGACAAGGTTCTTTACATCAAAGCTATGAAACATGCTGTCATTAATGCCTCTTGGAGAGAGGGCTTCCTGACATGTCTTCCCGAAATGAGAGTTGCCTTTATTGAGGCTATGGATGAGTAGTTGGAGGCTGTTGAGTAGTTGTTGGGCTATAGTATGTCATTTTATGTTTGCGTTCATTTCGGCTTTTCACTTATGTATTTCAGACATTGACTTGTCTTTATGACTATGCGTTTGTGATAATGTTGAGATTTTGCTTTAATGTAATTGAATTCCATAATTATCTATTGAGTTGTATTAAATTCCCAATAGATCAGTTCAAATGTTTTGGCTTCCCAACTGACATGTTAAGTTTGTCTTCTTCTTTCGCATGATGGCCTAGGTAATATGGAAGGGGGTCAAAGTAACTGGTCTAATGATCAAGTAGCATCAAGTGAAACAATTGTATTAGGTGAACAAGACTTTGATGAGGAAGAGTTGAAAATATTGTTGGCATGGTTGTGTACTGCTTGGTTGCATAGGTCCATGCACAGGACAGAACGTATTAGGGACAGCGTATTGACAGGGCCCCAATGGGTTAGCGAGCTTCTTCATGGACATTCAGATAGAGTATACGAAGCATTTAGAATGGAGAGACATGTTTTTCTTAACCTTTGTGGTTTGCTCAAGTCAAGAGGTTGGTTGGCAGACAGTCGATATGTTAGGGTAGATGAACAGGTTGCCATGTTTGTATTAATAATTTGTCACAAGAACTCCAACAGAGCTTTATGTGAGAGATTCCAACGTTCAGGAGAAACTGTTAGCAAGTACTTTGTAGCGGTGTTGAAAGCTGTTTTGGAATTGGCGAAGGAGATTATCGTACCTCCTTAGTTTGATGTTGTCCCAGAAGAAATTCGGATTGAGCCAAAGTTTAATCGTTACTTCAAGGTACGTTTTTCATACATTTCCTTGCACCATTTGATTAGTTTTGCTCACAATCTTGTCTAATGTATGTATTTAATTAAATGACAGGGGTGCGTAGGTGCTATTGATGGCACCCGTATTCATGCTACCGTACCTGAACATATACAGCCACGATTTAGAGTTAGAAAAGGCACAACCACTCAGAACGTGTTGCGTGTGTGTTCCTTTGATATGCGATTTACTTTTGTGTATGCTGGTTGGGAAGGATTAGCCAACGATTGTCGGGTGTTGTCGGCCGCACTTGACACACCTTACCTACAGTTTCCTCGACCACCCGCAGGTGCTATTTTGATATATAATGAGTATTTGTGTTTATGATTTTGCTAGGATTCCATTTCATGATCAATCCATGAATACTTTGTTGTAGGCAAGTACTACACCGTCGATTCTGATTATGCTTCAAGTCCAGGATTTTTAACACCATTTAAAGGCGAACGGTATCATATACCAGAATTTCGACGAAGTGGGGGACCAACAACATCAAAGGAATTGTTCAACCACAGGTATTCTTCATTAAGGAATATCATTGAGAGATCCTTTGTGGCTTTAAAGAATCGTTTTTTTGTTTTGAGACAGATGCCTCCATTTAAATTTGAAAAACAAACACAGATTGTAATTGCATGCTGTGCGATCCATAACTACATCATTGAGCAAGATAGGATGGATAAGTGTTTGTCCATATATGGAGATCCGGATTATGTGTGTGAACCTACTGAACAGGGTACAGACGATGTAGTAACGACCGAAGAGGGAACCGAGATGAACATTATCTGGAAACGTATTGCCAATAAAATGGCTAGGGATAATCATATGCTGGAGATTCCATGAAATTCGATTTTCCACTATTGTATTGTACTTCCATTATTATTATTTAAGGATTATTTGCTTTTTTTTGCCTTTTGTAAAGTAATGTTGTATTGTAGGATTTGTATTATGTGTAATTGAGGATTTGGTACCAGGTCTTCTTGTAATGACATGTTATTTTGGAATTTATGTTTTTTTTATTTGAGGATTTAAAAAAATGTACTAGATTTTGCCTCGAATATCATGCATTGTAGGTTAAGATAAATAATATTTTGCAATTGACTTCGGACTATCTTTGTTGCGGAAATAGAATTGACGTGCCGTTATCAAATGTATTTTTTGCTTAGTTTGAGTGAAATTTAAATTTTTTGAGGTGCCCAAAAAAATCAAAAAATTAAAAAAAAATTTTCAAAACTTCACAAAATAGCTTAGAATACCTGTGGCCACCCACTTTAAGTGAAATTTAAATTTGTGGGCACCTCCAAAAATTTAAATTTTCACTCAAAGTGGGTGGCCATAGGTATTCTAAAGCCATTCTGTGAAGTTTTGAAGTTTTTTATTTTTTGATTTTTTTGGGCACCTAAAAAAATTAAATTTCACTAAAAATGGGTGGCCACATGTATTCTAAGCCATTCTGTGAAGTTTTGAATTTTTTGATTTTATGATTTTTTTTGGCACCTAAAAAAAATTAAATTTCACTAAACGTGGGTGATCACAGGTATTTTAAACCATTCTATGAAGTTTTAAAATTTTTTATTTTTTGATTTGTTAAATTTTTTTTGGGAAAAATTCAATAAATTTCGTATTTTCCCGAAATCTGACAGTTTTCCACTATTGTATTATACTTCCATTATTATTATTCGAGGATTATTTGCTTTTTTTGCCTTCTGTAATGTAATATTGTATTGTAGGATTTGTATTATGTGTAATTGAGGATTTGGTACCAGGACTTCTTGTAATGACATGTTATTTTGGAATTTATGTTCTTTTTATTTGAGGATTTAAAAAAATGTACTAGATTTTGCCTCGAATATCATGCATTGTAGGTTAAGCTAAATAATATTTTGCAATTGAGTTCGAACTATCTTTGTTGCGGAAATAGAATTGACGCGCCGTTATCAAATGTATTTCTCATCCAGAAGTAGAAATTTCCTCTTATTTTATCAAACAGATTTCTCTTCCAAAAATCAATTTCTAGAGCAGAATTAGTCATGTTTTACCAAACAGATTTCTCCTCCAAAAATCAATTTCTGGCAAGAATTCCAGAAATCAATTTCTGGCAAGAATTTGATTTCTGAAGCAGAATGGTTACCATTCGCGCCCTTAGTAACTGAGGATATTATAATCTTTGGATTTTGGACCTGAAGGCGAAAATTTCATTCGCCGAGAGTACCGGAGCTCCCGAATAATTGGAATGCATTGACTTTTCAATACTCAACAAAACAGAGGAGACCTCGTAACACTGTTTTGAGGAGCCTTGACAATCCCAATCTCCACTTTTCTAAGAAAGGCCTAAATTTTTACTTTTCTTTTGTGTCCTTTCTGAATAAGCGATCAAGTAATGTTCAGATTAGGTTTTTTTCACCTCGACCGATCTGCTTCCTCAGACAATCTCATGACTCGTGCAAGTGGACATATGATATTAATGAGTCGCCAGCCTCATTAATAATCATAAGACTTTTCGAGATTGGCTTTTCATCGTCTCGATTAAAAATCCATTGAGCTCCCACTCTCGACTACCATATCGTCTCGATTCTCACGCCCGGTCACCTTAAAATGCTCGGTTCAAGCCAATTTCGCCAGAGCTGACCGAACTATGGTGCAGGGGGTCCATATGGTTTTGGACTCTTCCACCTCAATAACCAAATGTTAGATTCGGGTCACAAGATCATACGATCCGGATCTTTTAGATTACGTGGCAACTCTGTCATTGATTTGCAGAGTTCACCTCGTCCCGCACACCTTTGCACATCATTAAGGCCCTAAGCCAGCCACAATCTAGTCCCAATGGAACTAGGAAACTTGGAACAAGAAATGAACTAGAGTTGAGAGGAAATTGGTGGCAAAACCGGAGGACTTGCAACTGCCCATTCCTCGGTGGAAGCCAGCTGGGATTGGACTGCAAAATGAAGCCTAAAATGGAAGCTGTCTTGGCTGCAAAAACTAGACAAAGCAGGAATGCAACAAGGATTGAAGAAAGCTGCAGCAGGCGGCACACCAAAACGGGGAAATTACAATCTATTGTTGGCTAATCTTCTCTCGTCGAGATAAAAGTTGGCTACTTACTATATGCACCCAATCGCAATTCACGAGAGCTTACGTTTCCAGTGCAGATTCTCAGGATTCTAATCTATTGTTTGCTGATGCACCCAAAAGTTTAGCCGTGGATGCAGCTTTTGGTGAGAAGCCTTTCTCAACCATCTCCCATAGAAGAAGCATTGCCCTCGCTTTCTGACCATCTTCGAGGAGTGCTCGGATGATAATGTCATAGACGACACCACTTGGAGGACATCCCTTCTCTTTCATATTATGAAGTAGCTCGCAAGCTTCACATATTTAGCCAGCTTTACATAGTCCTTTTATGATGGTACTAAATGTCACGACATTAGGTCACAACCCTTTGGCATCCAACGAATTGAAGAGGTTCATCGCAGGTCCAAGTTCCCCTGCCTCACACAAGCCGTTAATAAGGATGGTGCAGTGGACGATATTAACATTGCCGATGCAATCTTCCATTTGTCAAAACAATGCCATTGCCTTGTCGACTGGTTGATTTTTGCCAAGGCCATCTAACATGACGGCATAAGTTTCTTGATCAATAAGATTGCAAGCCAGCGTTTTGTAAAACAGCTGATGTGCAACCCTGGGGTTTCCAGCAAGGAAAAAGCCATCCATGAGACAATTATAGGTGGCAACGCCAGGGACTAATCTTTTCTCCACCATTTTCCCAAG